AACCATTACATTCTTCCGACAATGTTTTAGTTCTCGAGGAGGAATTAACATGTAAATTTTGTTCGTAACTTAAAACTGAGAGAGGTGAGAGCTGAGAAAGCCGAAGTATGATTTACTATCATACGATTTCATGATATATATTTGAGAGTGGTATAATCCTTGAACCTATACCAATTCTATTGTAATGCTGAATTTTGTTATCGAAATTTGTCATCCTCAGACTTTTCATTATTATTAAAAATATAATTTTTTGATTATTATGGTAAAACATGAATTCTAGACTAAAAAAACTTTTCACTTCTCAGTCTCTCTGTACAAATGAATTAGTGTAGATACTTGCCATTAGCTGCGTTGTGATGGAAAAAATCATATGTACAGAAAAATGCCTCACTGAAGTGCTCTAGATGCTACTGTGCTGGCAGCTTTTGAGTGGATCCATTTTATTTTTATTTTTTTGTGTGTTTTCTGTCATGAACAAATGAAAAATTGCCAAGTGTATATCTGTAAAAATTCTGTGAACTAAATTCTGTACACCTAGCATAGTAGCATTGTTGCATTGTGATTATGCATCCACACTTCGAAAACTTTCCTGCTAACTACAACCCCTCTGCAAAATCTTTCTATTTCATCTTCTTTAACTTTTCTCTGCAGTTCCTATCCCATTTTCGCTGGAAATGTCTGCATTCTCTCTTTTTGATCTTCTTCAAACTATCCTAAATCTCTTCTTTACTTGAATCCCAACTCATTTTACTACTAACTGTTTTATGTTCTTCGTAATCGTTTATTTAGGAAATTCACTAAACAAACTTTTTCGTCCAGGTTTTGTCGCTTCTAAGGAAAAACAGAGACATGCTCTTCAATGAGGTATCTTTAGGAATTGAAATGCTAAGTCTTCAAATTTGCACTCTTGCCTGCACTATCAGTTTACAACATGTCATTATGTATTATCTCTGAGGTGGGGTATAAATTTGACAAAAAATGGAAAAAATTCTCTGTTTGCTTGTAGGTTAAGTTAACTGTATCGATTGAAGACCCTAGGAACGTTGAGCGAAGGCGTCTGCTTGGCATTGATGACGAAGATGCTCCTACTAGGGATGAATTGGCCGCTGTTTTAGTAGAAGTAAGTCACATCTTTATGCATTCTGGTGTACTATTTTCAACATTAAGCCTTCATGTTTTTCGGCAATGGAGTGCTCTTTGTGCAGTTTTGGTATTATAATTGTCATAGGCCTAGATAAAATTTGAATTAAAGTGAAGGCATACCGGCATCTAGATACAGTTTTGCCTCGTTGTAGAAATCATTCTTTGGTCTGCTCGAAGGTTCATATATTAGAGTCTTTAGGATGTTTAGCACAAGAAAGATATGTTACTAGTTTGGGATTGTCTGGCTGTTCTTATCATCCAACTTTACAAGCATGCACGTCCATTTATATTCTTTTGACCAGGTTTTGGGTAAGTTTATGTTTCACAGGGTTTCCTTTCTCTTAGGTAAGTGAAGGTAAAATTCCAAAAGATCATGTAGATACGCAGATGCTGCCTGAAGAAATTACGCAATGGCCAAATTTAGAGGTACTATTATGATCGTCTGCACTTGATAATTATGAATGACAACTGGTTGTGAAGTTGTAAAGATGATCCCAATGTAATATCGCAGTGGTTAACGTCTATGCCCCGCAACCACAAGTCTAATTGTTTTTAGTACTAACTATTTCCTCTTGTCAAGAAATGCTTATATGAACGGGGGATTACAGGAGAAACCTGTCCATGAAATTTCCCTCGTAAAGTTCTTTAACTGTCTGGGCTTGCTGAACCCACGAATATGCGCACATGTGATATTTTCTGTACTCAAATATATTATTGCTTGCCAGCAGGTCTAAGTTCATGAACTTATTCTTTGTTGAATACAAGTTGATCGCTACCATATCATCTGCCTTTTGCTACATGTGACATGCATATTAAGTGTTTGGATAAATCATGCTCATATATTAGATTCTTGTCGTAATTACTCGTTTATTATGAGGATTGTGTATCAGAAGAATCATATCCAAACGTGACCAAGGTCAGAATATGCCTGGCAATGGATACATCAAAAAATATGCATCATTCAAATCCAAAATTTGAGATCCTTGCGTTGCTTCCCTCCTTTTTCAGTTTCATTGTCCCAAAATCATCTGGACGGAATTACTCTCTTTATTTCTCCATGCAACGTGGATCTTTACGATCACTATATTGACCTATAGATATCAGCTCCACGACACTTGATCTTTTCTTTGTCCTCTTTAGCAGCTAAATCATGCATTCTGGTTTTGCTCCTATGTTGCCCTATGATCAACTATAACCTCCAGGATGTGTAATGGATCTCCTCAAAATACATGTTCTCTTTCCTTTTTGATGGGTTGAAATAACACCAAAGAAGGAACTGCCTGGAAAATCTTTATATGCAATAGTCACAGACAAGAGACTGAATATTGATTGGGATTCAGCTGCTGAGATTGAGGATGTTGAGGCAGATGAAGTGGAAGTGCCATCAGCCGTGGTTGGTTTTTCCTCCCCTTGATATTGACGCGTGAAAGATTTAGTGCGAGCAAGCATGTTACTGTTGTCTTGTAATAAGTGATTTTGGCTTTCAATGGGCATCATTCTACTCGAGCTTGAATATATTCAGCTTAATATAATTTTCTTTTTGTGTTTTTGGAATTAGATTTTTGTTTAGGATAAAAACATTTCATTAAAAAAAAAAAAA